CTGTTTTGTTCCCCCACCGGTTGCAGTGCCCGACCTTTGTCTCTCCAGGGTGAGTGAGGATGTGGGGTGTGGGCTGGTCTGGAAGCTGAGACTCCACAGGTGCTGGCAATCACCTCTCAGCCCTGCTGGAGCCACTGGCAAATGCAATTTCCCTGGAGCCGCTGTGTTTCAGCTGGTCAGGTTGGGCTGAGCAGCCGTTCCAGAGTCTCTCTGTGATGGACACACAGGGAAGCTGCTGTGGAAACACTGCGGGCAATGGATCCTACAAAACCAGCTTTTTCATTGGAAGTTTAGTGATTTCTTCTCTAAGTATTTCTACTGCCTGGCCAAAATACAAGTGTCTAAAATTAGCTTCCCCAGATAAAGACATTTTTGTCATATTTGGTGCATTCCTATCCAAACACTGAAAGCCAGCTGTTTGGGCTGGGTTACAGAGAGCAATCTGTTTGTAACTATACCGATCTGGCATTTCTAGCCCTGGAATTAATAGCTTTTTTTTATCTTTCTACATCCTAGGTTCATTTTTTCCATGCTAAGAGAGTGCCAGAGGAAGCATTATAAATGCTATATAATTAAAACCAGAAGTGCCTCACAGTGAACTTAATTGTAAATGCTAATGGCGTTTCTAGCAAAAGTAATACCCTGGGGGACTCGTTGCAAATTAACTAAGAAGAACTCAGTGATGTTGCTTCTATGGATTTTAACTGAAACTGTACAGTTAAAAGGAGTCAGGAGTGGATTTTTTTCATGTCAGTTAAAATCCTCTATAACTGGAGTCACTAAGTGCTGGTAAAACCTGTGAGACTAGATTCAGAAGCCACCCCTGATTCTGTTTCTTATTATCATGTAACTTCCCTTACCAGGACATTACCATTACCCAACCCAGTTTTTCCATCTGCTCTTCTGGCTCTACACTGGTGAAAGTCATTTGGCTTCAGAGAGTGGTGTTGGAAGAGAGAAAAGAGCTGGGTTCCAGTGTGAGGAAAGAGCAGGGGCGAGGCTGGTGACCTGGTGGCTGGGCTGATGCCAGCAGAGGGACTAAGGCTGGCTCTGTACATCTCAGGGTTCTGCACCCTCTAGTACAAAAAAAAAATGTTGATAGAGACAAAAATAACATATTTAAAGAATGCCCACAAAAATCCAGTGGTCTCTTAATGGCTGTGCTTTGCAAATACTTCTGTGTCTGATTTTCCAGGCATGTGTGAGAAGCTTGCCCAGGGGTTTTTAAACAAAATGTTTAAGGAGACTTTGCTGTAGCTGGTGAAGCCTTCCTGTGGCCTCTCCACCGAGGTTCCTGCTGCAGGGGTGGGGGCTTTGGCAGGACAGCAGAAGACTGGAGAGTGAACAACAGTTCAAGATAAAAGGTTTTTCTGTGCTGAGGGTCATGAGGACCGATGGGCTGCAGGTGGGCTCTGGTGCCTGGCTTATGAGCTACTGGTGGCCAAATGCCTAAAAGGGAAAGTGTCCCATCAGGGCATAGGGCCCTTTGCTAAACTGCTGCTGCAACAACAATCCCTGCTGCTGGGGAGCGAGCCTGGGGGCGACAGCTTCCTTTAAAAGGGCAAGCCCAGTGCTGGAGCAGGCTGGACTGGAGGCTGACAAGCTTGTCAGCAAGTGCCCACCTGGCCAACTCCTGGTTCTTGCTCCATCCATCAACAGCAACCCACCCCTTGAGCCCTGGAGTCTTGACAGCCCAAAAGGGACAGCTGCCTGCCAGGAGTGACCTCAAGCAGTGACGGGGCAGGGAGAGGTCTCCATCACTGGCTACAGGCCTGAGGGACCTGGCTCCATGCCATGCTGGCAAGGGGGGAACGAATGTCATTCCTGGTGGAGAGGTGCTGGACACACCAGTGACAAGGAACTGCACGTGGCTGGAGGGGAGAAGCTCGTTCAAAGTCACGAGCAAGATTTGCTTGTTCCCAGCCAGGGCTGGTTTTGAACCAGCTGGTGAAAAGAGCATCCAGGAGGGTATTTTGCTTTTTGCTAAGCTTGTTCCTAGTCACCAGTGCTCCTGAAATGCTACTTGTGAAACCTTATTGATAAGAAGCTTCCCTGGGACTTCCGTGCAATTTCCACAGTCAGATGATTTGATGCCAAAGTTAGCTGGTTGACTCAACGCTTGGGTCAAGGCTAGTGGTAGAGATGTGGTACAACTTGCCCTAAGATTGGGCATTCAGAATTATTTTATCTGGGAATTTTTTCCCTTTCTCAACTCCTTTTAGTGGTTTCTGGAGGAAAAGCAGTTAAGATCTGCATGAAATTTAACATGCTAGGTGTGCCCCAGTGAAAGCAGGTCCCTGATGCCTTGCTGTGTTATTAAAATGTCTTGCAACTTTACATTTTCCCAATAATAAGGCATTGCATGGCTCTTAGTGACTGCTAAACCATTCTCCCGGTGAGATGGGAGCCAGAGAGGACGAAACAGGACGAGCAAGAAGCAGTACTCCTGTGTTGGCAGCACAGTGGGCCAAGAAGCTCTCATCCGTGGGTACTTTTGCAGGCACTTTGGCCAGACTGACTTTCTGGAGCTCAGTGTGTCTCAGACTCAGGCCATGGGCTGTGCCAAGGGCTCAGAGGCAGTGGCACAGCCCCGGGCAGCAGCTCCCAACACCTCAGTCCCTGCACTGCTGCCAGCCTGTGGGAGCTCAAAGGTGCCCTCCTACGTGCTCTGAATCACTGGCAGCAGCTCAGTTTCTCCAGGACAGAGAAGTTATGAAAAAAAAGCTTTTAATTACTGGCCACAAACATTTGCAGTATTCTTGCCTTGGAGCAACAGAGCTGCAGCCAAACGGGTGGAACCCAAAGTACAGCACTCAGGCCAGAGCAGGGTTTCTTAAACATAAGCTTACAGGCACACACCAGAAGTTTCTTTCTTGGCAGATGTAAGGTCTGAAACATGTGTCAAGGAGAGCAGGATGTTCAGTTAGAACTTTAATAACAAGCAGCTGTAATAAAGCCTGGGCTTCCTACAAGTCAAAATAAATTTTGCCACCAAGCTAAGTGGAGCCAGTGCTCCAGCTCACATAGCTTGGAAATGTCCGGGTGGAGTGGACCCATGTGGTGAATTTTCTCCTCCGCTGAACTTTGTTTTTTCTTCCATCACATTTTCTTCTTCTCCCATCTCCACTGGGATGCCACTGCATCTTTTCATAGCAGCCAGCACTTCACAGGAACAAAAACATTTGTCCTGAGATAATTTGCATCTATTTCAAGTGGGAGATTTTCAAATACTGCCTTCAACTCTGGTTATTGCACTTCAGAGAACAAACTCAGGAGACAAATGACCCATTGAACTTCAGGGTCACTGGCACTCGACACTTCTGGTAAGAAGAGAAGCTAGGGCTCAGGTCAGACCCTCGTGTAAACCTCTTTTTGGTCACTGAAGTCAAACCATACAAAAAGCACAGAAGACTCTTTCCTTCCCCCATGCATTTTATTTTCTTTTTCATTCCCTTGTTCATTTTGGAGACAAGCATTATATAAAAACTACAGTAAGCTATTTTCAAGGCAGCTATATGTTTTTTGTTTTGTTGGCATCCCAGTCAAATATTGACTTGTCAAGGGCATTTAGAACTATATCTTGATCCTGTATAAGGTCCAAGTTTCACAGCCATGTGCTCAGCCACTGTTTGAGTGAAGAACTTTTTTCTAATATCCAACCTAAACTTCCCCTGACACAACTTCAGGCCATTCCCTCAGGCCCTGTCACTGGGCACCACATTATGGTTTTGATCTCAGAGTAATATACAGTAACATACTGATTCAAGTGGGTGATGGGCAAACTTGGACAGCAAAGCCCAAGGGTCTGTCTGTAAATAACCCCTACAAAGTTGGGTTTGTCCCCCAGGGACATGACTTGAAGCTCTTAGAGGGATGCTGTTGCTGAGTGATCAGCAGGACTCTGCCTGCTGGGTGCTGCACCAGCACCCACAGCCATGACCTCAAAAGCCGTTCCAACCACAGCAAATACCACCTAAGTCACCAATAAGTTAATGAATAAATGAATCAATCAATCAGTCAGTCAGTCAGTCAATCACCATTCTTCAGCCACAGCATCTTTTCTACTCGGCACTTAGAAGTCTTCACCCACACATCAGACCTGCTGGCTCCATGTGTTGAGACAGTGCCCAGAAGCTGTGGATTTGCCTTTAGTAGGGAACTTCGAAAAGTTGAGAGGGAGCTTAGACAAGATTGAAGCAAATTATGTGTAGGCCAGATCCTAAATATAGTTGGAATACCACCCTTAGCTGGCTGTGGAGTCTTTCCAAACCAAATTCTTCTCCAAATGCCTTTTTAGCTGTTGGAAATCCAGCTCAAGTACAAACCAAATTGTTTCTCCAAACACATTTCTGGAAGAAGTAGATGTGAGCATGCAGAAGAAAACCTATCCTTGTGGTTGCACATTTGATTCTCTTACACTTTGGGAACTTGCTGTATATCACAAAAGGCAGGCAGTGAGACTACCCAGTGGCCTCTGCTAGCACCTTCCTTTTTATGAAATGCTTTTAAAGCCCACCCATAACCCATCCTCTGCCCCACCTTGCTTGGGTGAAGTGAAGGAACAGCTGTGTGGTGTTTCATTGACAGCTGGGCCTAAACCACAACATGCAGTTTTCAAATTGCTTCTACAATAATTATCCAGATACTGCTTTGGATTACCTGGAGATACTGATGGGAGAGCGTGTGTCAGGTTTAAGTCTATTACAGTGAAGTACAAATAGATTTTAGTCTTCCCAAATCTCATTCTGCCCCCAGTTGTCAGATTACATGATAAAGCAAGGATATCTCCCCAGACAGATTCACTTAAAGGCTTGAAAAAACAGCTGAAGTGTGTTGATTTTTTTTTCCCCCGATATAAAAAAAAATGGTTTCTAAATTCTGGATCAAATAATTCTTGGTTGTCTCTCAGGCAGATTCAAGATGCCCCAAACTACTCCAATGGCACTGAGGAAGGCAGAGTATCAAGGACAACATACAAAGCAGTACAAAAACCTTGACAGTTCTATTTAAAGTGACTTTATTAAAACATTGTTAATATAAAATGTGACCAAATACAATTTCATTTTTGTAAGAATGTTTAATAAAAACATATTCAAGAAAGAAGGAGCATCAACTCTTGTCAAAGCACAGGAAAAACCTACCAGGATAAGTAAAAAGTTCTGCAGCATGTTCTACCAGCTGGTCCCAATGTGTATTAGGGTTGAGTTAGCCGATGGAAGAGACAGACAGCCCAAGTTCTTCCCTAAGAAGCTTTACGGTATTACCAGAGATTTAAAGTAACGCTCCTTGACAGTAGGAGACACTGTTTTCAGATCTCCCCAAATCAGAGTAAGATTAGAATGTGCATCTTCATTTTCAATTTACTACTTTTCAGCAGCTGAATGTACAAAAAATCAGATTCACGGGTAACTGTAAACCCCAAGATTAATATTTATTAGCTTTAAAAGGAAGGTGCAAGTCAATATCAATCATACACCTAAAGAATTTGTGTTAAAGTTGTTCTAAGCTGTATTAACTTTAGATGCTTGTAGCAAATGCTACAAAAGAAAAAACAGCAGAAAAGTCCAGGATGGTAACAACAAGTATTTTCTGAACTGCTGAATGCAGAGATAACATCCACGAACTACAGGAGTTTGCACATCTCAGGAAGAATGTAAAAAAGCTTTCAGAAGCCTATAAATAAGAGTATGCTATACAATGACTTCTACTCTGTGGTAATCTTAGCATTTAGCTAAGGAACCTTTTAAGAAAACACTAAAACAAGTGGAGGTTTTGGCCTTGGTGTTTTGGGTTTTTTTGGGTTTTTTTTGTTGGGGTGTGGGGACAAGAAAAGGAATGCTTGCAGCATTTTCCTTGTCCAACAAGTAAATTTTAATGCTCTATCAGCATACTCTGCTTGTTCAAAGCAAGCAGCACACCAATTAGAGGCAAGGATTCTTCCAGGACATTGCAAACTCTTCCTGTAACAAGCAGAAAAAATCCTGCCACATCCAATTCTGCACATTGAACTGCCCCTGGCACTGAACCAAAAGTCAAGTGCTAATCCATGAGAAGCCTAGCACAACTATGGCTTAGGAGATGGTGACCTTCTTACAGCCTTGCCTGGGACCCATTAGAGCCCTGTTTTGCCTTCTACCCCAAACAAATGCTATGGGACTATTGCTGAGGTAAAGGGAAAAGTCAAACCTTTGGCATTGGAGCAGACCAGTCACTGGCTGTGCGTGGGGGAATTAAGGCTTCAAGGTGAGGTAAACACAGTGAGAATCAGTGTGTAAATCATGCTGCATTTCAGAGACAACAGATCCAAACGACAGCTACTCTTGTTCTCTACATTTTAAACACCAAAGATCATTCAAAAGCAGAACTGGAGGCAACACTGCCAAGGACCACCTTGAGACGCCTCTCTGCACCTTAGGAATAAATGTAAGCCAGATGTTGAACACTAAAGAGGATGAACCCACAAGGAGGAAAAAGCACCAAAGTCTATGAGTCCTTGAGACAATAAGCTGCTTAAAAACCAAAAAAGCCTCATACTCCTGTGACCTCCCATAAACATAGTGGTTTACTGACACAAAGGTAATCTACACTCCAGAAATTCTCAGTGCTGTAGTTCCAGCACTAGTATTAGGAAGAGTTATGCTCTAGTAAGGAGGCAGTAAAATTGTGTTCCCTGAAGAATTTCTCCAAATAGTTAGGTGTTATCCCACTCCCTTCTACCCACCCCCAAGTCTTCAATCCAAACACCAGAAACACCATTTCCCCAGGTCATTTCTCTACCACTCTTAAGTTATTTTAGCAGATTTGTAGGGTACGAACACAGTGCTTTTTTGCATCCATCATTTTGGCAATGCCTTTGCCTTCTTCAGAAGAAAAAGTGTCTTCAGTAAGTGATACAAAAGATACTTTCAAAGGAAACAAAATCTACAAATCAATGCAATTCTGGATGCTTGCTTTTCATACTGTTTTTTGTTAGCTAGCTGAAGTATGGTTGGAACCACTGCACATGCAATATTATTTCTTTTACAAGCCACGCTAGCAAGGTTTCCACTGAAAACAGCAATCTGGTCCTCTAGGTTCCATTTCTAGGATACAGAGACTCTCATTTGTGTTTCTTTAACATGTGTACAGTAACTTCTCCCATCCTCTCAATACAGTAGCTACTAAAAATTTTAACAGATATTTAAAAAATATCCAAATGAAACCACACTTCTATCACTGTTTATAAAACAAAAACGCATATGTTATTACAAAAGTTTATACAAAGGCAACATTTAAGAGTTTGAAAGTTACTTCTAGAAAAAGACACAAATGCTAGTAAATTAACATACAAGGAGAAAGGTGTTCCACTCCTTCCCCAAAATTGGTTTGATCTGTTTTGAAGTATCTTTTACCAGTTGTCTAGAAAATCAAAGCCAGTCTTCAAGATAACATTGCTTGTACTAGTCTGCAAGGTAAAAAATAAAAAAAAAGAAAAAAAAAAGGAAATAAGATGTAGTTGCTTATTATGGCATTACAAACTCAATATTTGACTGCCTATCTAAAAACTACAGTTTAAAATGTTGCCTTACAATATTTCAAGGTCTTCACCATGCTCTAGGATACCTAAGTACCTACACCATAAAATGCTAGACATGACATGGCAAAATACTCACAGTGCCTAAAAAGGCAATTCCAGATAAAAATAAAATTATTCTTATGGTCTGCAGGCAAAATGTTTTTTTTTCCCTCATAGAATTAATGAATATCAATTTTTTAGACTACAGTGGGAATTGCAGAGAATGAAACAAACACAGAAACAAACATCATTAATTCAACAGATTGTCTGTTGCAATTAGAGACAGTTGTTTGCAGAAAACTACACAGATTAAACTTTGATGGCAAGTTATTTACTAGGCTATCCAGAACACACTCACTCCTGCAGTGTTAGGCATGACATTTAAGGTGATTCTAGTATTTAGGAAGAGTATTCAAAAGGCACAGCTGAATCTGGATTATCTTCCTAGAGCATGGCTTCCCAGAACAGGGAAGATAATCCAGAAAAGAAGAAAGGAAGAAAATTCTTATCCTACACGAAGTTCTCTGCTCCTCTGTTCCCATTTTCACATGGGAGAGTTGTTTCTCCACAGAAAGAAAAAACAGGCTTTTCAAACTATTTCAGTTATCTTGAAAACATTCACAAAGGAATTGAAACTGTTATTTTGTAAGAAAACATTATAAAGCCTTTAACTGAAATTAAAGGACTATCATGTTCACAAATTGCAGCTAGGCACCTGAGGAAGCATTATCCCTCAGCCTCAGAAAATGCTAGCTAAACAAAGGGCTTCAAACACTGGAGTGGCTTAAGTATTGTTCTCTCCTAAGTGCTGCCACTTACTTCTCTTGTAACTAGTTACCTCACCCTGCATCTTTCTGACTTTACATCATCTTGTTTGGAATTCAAACAATCACAGCTGGGAAAATAGAGAAAAAGCTGTGTGAAGCGCTGAAGGTGTACAGTAATGTGTCAGGCTACTGCCAGAGATGCCACAGATTTCAAACAAAATTGCACAGCTCTGCTTGAAGTACCGCTCCTCTACTTCACAGTTTTCAAGCTTTTGATCTCTTTCTTTTTTCCCCCTCCTTGTATCATATCCTGCTGTTCCTTTTCTTTTCTCACAGATCAGCATCTGCTTTTTAAAATAGCTTCAACTGGCTATTGAGCGTCTTAAGGTTATTTTATGTTGTTGGGTTGTTTGGGTTTTTTCATTTAAAAAAACATTGAGAAGGCTAATTCTGGAAGCTCATTCTATTTCTATTTTGGACTTTAAAAGAAAACACATTTGAAAGCAGCACAGCTGCCTGGGACAAAGCATTGGGAAGTGGCTGTCAGGCTACTGCTTGGAACAGCAGAGAACTAGTTCACCATTCACCACTATGCTGTGTGAATCAATAAAGTATGCTAGACCCTAGTTCACCTACTTTTCAAGTTAAAAAGCTTATTCTTTCCAATAAGTGTTTCACTTTTTCAAATAAAACCCCAAAACCCCACAACCTCTTTTATGTGATACAGCAACTTGCTAGGTTGCTGTCAATTAGTTACTTGGCGCCTTGTCAGCATTTTTGGTGTTAGATTTAAATTGTGCCTTTATCCGATGTGTTAAAAAGCACTTAATTGAAGTTAACATGTTAAACAGACTGTTAAATAGTAGATTAAATAGACTTCTTCACATTTGAAAGACAAAAAAGCCATCAAGCTGAGCTATGGCTTGGTGGCTTTTGGATTCCCTAATCTTCTAGAGTGGCCCTGACAGATTTTAATGTGCTGTACAGTTCTTAAATATAAAGACAGTGGGTATAGCAGTACTCACCTGTCCAGGCATTTGTGGGTCTGTAAGTATAGTACCATCAGTATCTTCCTTGTTTGTCCTAGAAGATGCCAGATCCTGTGGTGGATCAGTAAGAAAGAAGTCATCTAGAGAACTAGTAGGGAGTTGAGTAGGTCGAGGTTTCTCCCACTCGAGACACACAGAAGGTGTGCTGGGGACAACAGACTTCTCTGGTTTAGTTATGCTGGGCTTCTCAGCTTTGGTCATCTCCTTTGGAGCAGACTCTTGTCTGTAAAAAGAGGGAAGGGGCTTCTCTCCTTTCTCCATGGACTTGATCTGGCTGGGGGTCAGGGACTGGAACTCAGACTTGTCTCCTTCAAACTTCGAGCGCTCTGCGTTTATCTTCCAGAAGGACGACTCCTCTTCCTTTCTGGCTGCTGCTATCAACCCCTCAGAGCCAGGGGTCTTATTGGCCTGAGAAGATTTAGGGGTTTGGACACCAGGTGCTGCTTTAACAGGCTGCCTCTGCTCGTTCTGCAGCTGGGCACCACCTTGCTCTTGTATGGAGAGAGATGCAACGCTGAACTCCATCTGACTCTGTTCAGGGACAGAAAAACAGCATTTCAAAGCCCTTTACATAGATACAGTTTTGACTTTCTGACCTTGTTGCACACAGATAACACCTCAGCCCATTGCGAGACAGCTCTCAGACAACAGATACTACAGCAAAGATAACTTAATTCCTCATAAATGTCTTTGTAGTTTCATAAAAATAATGATTTTTAAAAGTCTGAAATGCAAGCAAACATAAAAGTCCCAGACCTGCTGCAGAGGAGACAGAGAAAGCAATTGTATTGGAGTTACTCAGTGCCATCTAAGGCAGCAGTGCACAGCATGAACAGGACTGAAACATTAGAATAGCGTCACTAAAACATTAGAACAGCTGCAGATGCATTTTGAAAGTCAGAGATGTTTTATGTGAAAAATTTAAGAAAAAAAAAGCTTCGGAGTGTAGCTCAAAAGGCAATTTTCCATTATAGTCTTTCAAATAGTTGGCTACAGGTCCATCTGCTTCCAAGATAAAGGATTAGATGTAATGGGTATGCATAGGTGAATCGTTTTATAACTCTAATGCTCCTCTGAAGGAAGAGAAATAACTCCAGCAGGACCAGTTCTTCACGTGTTCCAGAGCTCTGGTTTGTTTTCACTTGCAATGCTGAGATGAGTGTATGCATTTCTGAGAGGTAACACTGGGCCAGGGAAGCAAGTGACCACAGTTAATGCATGAAAATAATCTTAAAAGTCACAGAAAAGTGAACAGTACTTCAAAATGTTTGTTTTGCTTACCACCACTTCAGTAAAATGATTCTCAACTAGCTAGACACTCTTCAGGCTAATAAAAGTTAAGCCTTATTACCTTCTGAGAAACATGTAAGTATTTGTGCCAGGAAAGAAAAACCTAATACACAGACTCGTGTTTGTAAAAAGGAACAAATAATGCAAGGAAAATAAAATGCCTTTACTGTTAAAGCTGTGGTGTTGTCATTATGGGCCTGATCGGGTTTGAAAAAAATCTCAAGAGGACTTGTAGCCTTTGCTACAAATAGTTGAAAGACACTTTGAAAGTTCATTAAAAATTTTTGATGTTTCTTCACCATTCTATTTCACTGCCCAGCCTTTCCCGAATGAAACTGCAATAGCATCAATGGGCTTCAGTCTAAAACAAGTCCTAGTTGCATATAATTTTCACTGAAGTGTTTGATCTTGAGACCTACATTACTGTGCATGTGAAGTTCAAAGGGACCCTAGATCTAACAGGACTCATATGCCTAGTAGTTAATATTCAGAAACTTCTCATCAAAGAACAACTGTTAAGCCAGCAACTGATTATTTATAAAACATTTTTTTAAAAACAGCAGCTGACTACACATAATTTGATTCATGGACTTAGATCTGACCTTTCTAAAGAATTAGATGCATCATTTTTCCAAGGCTGTAGGCAAGAGAGCACCAAGCTCTGTGTTCTCATGAAGAATATACTGTGCTATCAAAAGATGCAGAACATAAACAAGCTGCAATTAATTATAGCTCAGCTAGAATGAGGTGAGTGCAAGGATACACGCAAGTCTTACCAAACAACTCAACACCCCACCCTGCCTGCAAAAAACTATGAGGAAAACTTTAGTGCTCTCATTTATTTTTTTTAAACAAGTCATGACGTAAAATTAAGAGCAGGATATTTATTCACAGATAAATTTTGCATAAACAAACCATAGATACAATGGTGTTGAGGATTATTTACAGTGACTGCCATTCCCTATATTAAAATACAGGGATTTATTTCCCTAAGCTCATTTGGCAGTATCACTGAATAGTGATTTACCACCGTGAAGTTAAGATGCTTTAAGACTTTAGAACTGATAAAATCCCAGCTTAAAAAAACCCACAACACAATATAAAATAGACCTGTAATTCCCCAGTAGCCAAGAGAAAAAACAAAAGACATTCTAAAAATCAAAGACAGGTTTAAGAAAAAAAATCCATCTTGGAACATTTGGAAGTCATGTAGGAATTAAAACAGTGCTACTTTTTGTCCTGCAGAAGTTTGCTGTCTTCTGAATAGCCTATCCTGGGGCTCCCACTGGGGATGACAGTAGCTAAAGGCCATCACAGCAGCAGTCACTTCCAGTAGAATGATTCCTTCACCCCCCAGCCCAAGGGAGAGGGAAGATCAGAGCCCAGAGTGCAGAACAGCCATCATAGCCCCCAGGTCCACCAGAGTAGTGCTAGAAATAAAATCCAGAAAAAACACCAATGGAAGGGAAGTATGGGTCTATTAAAACAAGAATTAGAAAAAGTAAACCAACAAGATGGCTCTGCATTTCAACAGCAGCTAGCCAGACAAGCAAAGCCAGGCCTTCTGAAGTGTTCTTAGGCTGTGGAGCTAAAGTCACTAACTGTAGCAATATTTTATGTTCTTTTTACGGGGCAAAATATCAACGCAGAGCTGTGGTTTGGATGTGGCACATCGCTCCTAGTGTAGAAAAGAGTGTGGCACTGCAGCAGCACTTCAGGCAGTGGTACCTTTCCAACCTGCTCGTGGGTGCATGTTCTGGAGAGAACGTCCTCTTTGCCTTTCGGTGCAGAGACCATGGGGTGCACCCATTTCAGGAGACAGGACCACCTGACATTTGAGATTGCATATCTGTCTCACAGAATGCTCTGGAGATCAAACAGTTCATAGTCTGACATGGAATAATCCAAATGAAAGTACTTCTTCAGGAGTTTTTGTTCTCCCACAAGGAAGGCAAAGAAGACAAGACTACCCCAACAGGTTCTGAAAGAACTGTGTCTCAGTATGATGTAAATACAGCTCCAAGAGGGCACAGGGATAATTCTACTTCTAGCATTTAATTCCAGAAGCCAAGAACTTCTGTGGACCACAGTCACAAGATATTCTGTTTTCCCTGAAATATAGAATGCTTCTATTTGACTTCTGAGGTTATTTAACACATCTAAACCCCTAAGAAATGTAGCTGACGAAAGAAAATTATTAATAGGCAATATCTTTCCAGTCAAAAAATTGTCAATAAAACACCCTCCCCCGCAAGGAAAAAACAAACCAAACAACAGAGCAACAGCCCAAGTAGGAAGATAATTTCACAGAGGCCCATGTGTGAAACACCCTATGCTGATATCTAAGTAATGAATAGTACTGCACACTCTAATGAGTCACTAGACACTACAAATGTGATTTTAATTAGAGTTCTGCTCTCAATTTCTTACATCAGATTGCAAATTGGCAATTGGGTGCGTCAGCAGGAGAAGGAAATAAACTATACTTAAAAGACAGCAACCTCCCCCTCCCTCCCAAAAAATGTCCTTTTCCTTTAGGTTTGCCAGCCATGAGAATATCTTGATGCACAACTCTCGTGGCCCCAGCCAGACTTAGGGCAGCAGCCCACGTGTAAAGGTTTGCCTTCCCCAGGCTGGGGCAGAGTTGTGTGAGCTGCACCTGCCCATGCAGCGCTCAGAATTAGAACTGCACTTGTGGCACTGCAGCAGAACTGCACTCTACCAGCTGCCACCCTGGGGAGGCAAACGCTGAACAGTGGGGTGAGATTTCATGGTCAAAAGTGATTGTCTTTCAGGCACAGTTTGGGATTCTAGAGAGACAGGGTTTCAGTTCCCCGCTGCTTTCATTGATTTTGTATTACTTTACATGAGCTGCAGTTTCTGTATGTATAAATCCCCCATCTGAGGAATAAAATAAAAATATTTTCTTTTTCCTACCATCTGTCCAAATGGTATTTCTGGGAATTGTTCAGCACAGAAAGTCTCAAGAGTTTACAGACAGACTAGTACAAGTCCCAACTATAATTTCTAGAAATTATTGGAATTCAAATAAAAGCTATTAACAGCAGCAGTATTTTCAAGATATTACATGAGCAAGTCTTTCTCAACACATTAAGAGTGGGGGTAGAGAGTGCATGTGAAAGCATGCACAAAGAAGTAATTTGAGGTAAAGCAAACCTAGAAGTCTGTGTTCTTTTCAGTCTTATCCTTCTGGTCCCAGACCAGTGCAAGGATTTAAATACAGAATGTCCTGTCTTGATCATTTTTCTGTATCATAAATATAAATAATATTATAAATTGCAGGGTTTAGGAGGTTGCATGTCCATCTTTCCTTAGAAAGACCATATTTAGGAATTTTGTTTACTGGATTAAAGAATTTAGACCAAACTTCAGTCTCAAGGCAGCAATAATCCACTAAATTGTAACAGTGGCTCTATATACTCATGGGAAAGAAAGAATGTATGCTGAAAGAGAGGCACCAGAGGCACTGAGAATGTCATGATTTAATTACACTGTATGAAATCAGGTCTCAGTTCATAAGTACATATTAAAAACAAGATGACCACAAAGAACCCAGGATCTTTTAAAGCTTCTTATTCACTCATCAGGAATGTGTAGTATTTTACTAAGCAGTCATGCAAATACAGCCAAAACAAATTGTTTTGCTTGGCAGGCTGAAAAATCCAAATTGTTGAGACAAAGACTACAGGAACACTGTCAAAAGCAACTTGTTTTAAGCACAGCCTGATAAATGCAGAGGTAAGAAAGACAATTTTAAAAGATTTAGAAGATGACTTTGCTTTGCTGAATGGACAAAACCAAAATAAATATAGGGCTCAAAGCAGCTGCAGTTTTTGCTTTGTTTCCTGTGCACACCATGGGTGTTTTCAGGATCTTTTCAGAGTCAGAAAGAAATCCTTAGGTCAGCAAAGGCAAATTGCAAGGGCAAAAAAAAAAAAAAAAATAGAGCAAAGCACTCAAAACCAATCTAAGTAATTTTAGTCCATACAGAAAGACAATGCCGATGTTATATAGTATGGACCTTTGGAGGAAATTCCTGCTGATATGAACTGACTCCAGTCAGCCACTATTTCTGGCTAGCTTGAGCAAACTTGTACTGACAGTGCCTGGTTTTATGCTCAAAACCAACAACAATTGATGCAGGTAACTGAATCCTTACACTTGGCCATACAGCCTAAAATAAACCTTGAACACAGCTTCTATTACCACAGGCTGAGTTTGGTGGGGTGTTCTTTTGCTCAAGAACTAATAGTCAACAGAAGTTTTAAAGCACTGTGTTTTAAACATACATAGCCTAAATAAAAAAGGGAAGGCTAATCTCAAAAGCTCAAGGATCACTCTCCTTCCAAGGAAGTGCTGCCATTTATGCCAGCTTGGTAAAAATAATCACACCAAATTATAGCTTGTAACAAACAATTATAATATCATGCTGCTAAGGAAGGAAGGAAAAATTCTCTTCTGCCACTGTGTTCCTACTTAAAAAAAAAGAATACCAACTAAGGCTTGTACAAAGAAGGATACTGAAGACCACCTCAATTTTAGATAAAGGTAACAGTTGGTAAAGCATGTTTATTACAAGTGGAACATAGCTTTTTTTCTCCCTAAATCATTGCTGGGATTAGATCACTTCTGTAGCAATATAATTAGGGAATTCAGACAGGAAGGCAACAACCAGCTTATTGAAGGGATTGAAGCCTGTCACTTCTTTAATTTGCTTTTTTTGTTTTGTTTGTTTATTTTAAACACACCTCAGAGGCTTCTCTTTTCAACAAATACCTGAGGGCCTGTTGAAAACAGAAGAGAATCAGCAACTATTCTACCTCTATCAAGACAAAGAAATCTTTAGATACACATGTGTCAATTTAAAGCATTTGGAACAAAATCTATTTTTGTTAATAGCATGGATTAGAGGTAAATTGAATTTTAATTCTCATGCTGCATTCCATGTGTTAACTGAGGTGGCAAACTGAAATATTTTCTGTCCGTTACTAAATTAATTAAGTCCCCCCCCGCCCCTGCCCAAATCCAAAATCACAAAACCCATAAAGTTCTGAGTTCAGGAAGAGTTGCAGAGAAATTTTACTTCCAAGTTCAGGCATGACCCTTGTTTTCCATTTATATCTTGAGGTCGGTGCTGAGGTTCACTGAATTTTTACTTCAAAGAAACCAAGAAACCTCAAAGGCTAAACTCGGCCAAAATGTCATCTTTCATCTCACGTAAACCTGAAGCCAAAAATAGAATGCCCTGAATTCATAAACCTGGGTAGAGCTCCAGTTAAAAACATAACCCACATTTCAAGACATGTTATGTCCATGAGGGCTCCACCCATGAACTAAATCACTCCCTCCAATTCAATATTTAGTTTTAAAATGTCAGCCCTTTTGCAGTACCAAGAGAACTCACTGCTTCCCAAATTTTCCTTCGTAGAAGTATTATCGTTATCTACTAAAAATATTATTTTAAATGCTGTCTAACAGCTAACTTGGCAATTTACATTGCAGTTCTACTTTGTTTGCCTTGTCTGAGGATTTAAAAATAAAAAGGTGAGACAAGAAATAGTCATCTAAAAATAGTGGTGATATTCATGTAAGTGTTTGTTGTGATATGAACGACTGCAGCCCTATCTCACATTTGTGTTTAAAATGAGAATACAGAAAGTTTACTTGTGACACAAGTGAAGTCACCAAGCCCTTCAACAATGTTCTGAACAAAATGACAGTTCAGTACACTGTTCTCTGCGTAAGTTTGACTGCCATGGAAGTAGGGAATCCATGGCACTAGCTACAGTGAGAAAAATTTGTCCATAACTTATCAACTAGAATCCCCATTGGCATCACTGTTTCATCTGAGAGCCTTCAACCTGGGAGAATACATGCCCTCCCCTCTTCTCTACACTTCTCACTACCCCTCACAGTTTCCCTCATGTTAGTTACAGAAAATACTCATTTTGCTGCTTTATTTTTCTTTCTCGTTGTTTAAAAAAAAAAAAAAAAAAAGCCTATTGGTTTTACTGATTTACATCTCTACTTTCTTCTGCTCTACAAAAGCCTCATTCCCTTCCTTGAGTCAGCCAGTGCATATTCCTGCACATTCAGGCAATAACATACTAAAAAAACACAAACCAAACAAAAAGCTCTGCATTGAAGGGAGATCAGGGAGAAGAGTACTGTGGAAAGAACAACCCATCCTGGGTAGAGCATGGAATGCAAAGACCCTGACAGCCTTAAATAACAGTGGGAACAGGTCTGGCTCACAGGTCATTGTACAATGAATTACAACAGACCAACATTCTTGAACAGCTCATTCAGGTTTCCTCACTTGGGACCACTTGAGTATGGCTACTTTTTCCTCAGCTACCTCATCAAAAATTTCCTTCCAGTATTGCCTCATAAAAATAAGGGAAGATCAAAGAGTAAGCACAAAGCAAGATCTCCATTTTTGAAAAGGAAGACTCAGCAGTGGAAGGATTTGGTTGAAAGATCAATACACTGTGGGAAAACCAAAAGGAAGAATCCACAGAAACGGACCAAACCGTACCCTATAAATCCAGACAAAATGGATTCTCTAGAATTTTGCTAAAGAAAAAGATCATGCAACTTTTCAGCCCACAGCTGTGGCACAGCTTTTATTTCTGGTCAGCAAAGAAGGAGAGGGGAAAGAGAGACACACAGAAAATCCTCCACTGATTCCTGAACCATCACAGCTTTTAAGGGAGTTTTAAGGCAAGTGAAGACTGGCATTGGCTTCTCTTAAACCACAGCACTGCAGGCTGCCAGGAGCCAGGAGTCACATCAAATTATAGGTTAATCAGCTTCTGCAAAGCACAGATGGGGTGCAGCTACAGGCAGTGACCTTGAGCAGGGAGGGATAAGCCTCAGGTCAACTAGATTAATTTAGTATTCACTGGCATTTCCAAATAATTACTCTGCATTAGGCTAAGATTATATTCATAAGGTCATACACGATTATCTACATAGTTCAAGGGCAAGGAAAAAAAAAAGGGAACAGGGAAGTAGCAGTTTTCTCTGGCAGATAAGGGCAGAAAACACAAAGTCTGAAATGTGTGATTAAATTAACATGCCTGTCATACCCAGTTGAGAAAGACAATGAGCTGTGGTTTTGCTCCCAGAATTTCCCCAACAAGAAGAACTAAACTTGATTTCCCACCACACATATGGCACAACTGTGTTTCCTCACACTGCAGGCTCAGAAAGATGGAGAGCTCTGGATCTGTGTTAGCCATATGAGAATCCCATCATAAATAATGCTTTAACAAAATACCAGAGATAAAGTGACGTGTAAAATAAACCCCAAACCAGCTCACCACATTAAAATATGTTATTCTTTTAAGAAGCCTTTGGAGAGGAAATAACATACTGCTTCCAGCATGGCCCTAGGTTAACAAGTTTCACTACATTTGTCCTAAGACAACATTTTAGTTCATAATAAAAAGATAAAGTAATAGACAGGCTTTCAGAAAGAATCCAGTGAAGTTATGAGATACCTGCTCATTTCTCACACTGTCTTCTAGCTACTTTACTCCTGACCTAAAGTGAAATGCAGCTATGTTTATACAGTATCTGAGACAAGGGTCTTACTAAACATAGAAAGTTGACTAAAAAGTTTGCAACAAAAAATAAAATGGTAATGAATTGGTTTTACATCTGCACTTAAAGCCAGAACATCAGTTCGTGAAGTACATTTTGAGTTTCTCCTGATGTAAATCAAAGCATACCAGTCTTGTTTGATTTGCAGTATGGTCACTTTATACCGCTTGCACAGAATAAAGGTTACATTAAACTATCAAGTAACAAAATTAAGACAATAAATGCAGAAGGAACAGTATAAAATGACAAAGCAACATTAAAAAAAAACAAGAAAGCTGTTTAATTACCTTCGTTTCCCAGGAGAATGGAGCTGAGTGTTCATCTTGCCAAGTTATGTCCTGAAATAAAATTGAAGAATGACTAAAAATCAGAAGAGTAGCTTCATCTTCTCAGAAGCATCACACAGATGACATTATGTTACAGTGCCGGAACTATAACAACCAGTGCTACAGAACTGACTAAAAAGTGAAAGCACTACTTAAAGATGGCACTGATTACATTTTAAGACTGACTGAAAGCAGGTCCACTAAGGGCAAGGTTATCAATACTATACCAATTTAATCTACAAAATATATGATGGTTTAGCCTGGCCTAAATCTCCTGAAATGGTTTCTCCACAAATAGCTTTAAAATGTATTATATTTCCAGTTTCTACTAGGCATTTCTTTGGTAGCTGCTAGCAACACACAGGGACAGAAACAACAAAAGGAGAAGGGGCCTCAGGGAAATCAAGTCCCATTTTCTCCCTTTGGCAGACCAAAGAGCACGTGCACAACCAAGCAGTCGTGGGGCAGTGAAATAGCTGCGTGGCCATCGGGCCAAGGCACAGCTGGACCCAGCCCCAACAGGACACATCATGGCACCACAGCAGTGACAGCAGCTCTGAAATGCATTTTCAGTGGTGTTGAAGGAGCCACACAGCATCCACAGCACAAAATCTGAAATCCATTATTTGAAGATGCTGCATTTCTGAAAATAATCCCAAACTGAGAAATTTAAAGAATCTCTATATACATGGCATACCCTCCAGAAATACATGCAGCCCACACTGAAAAAAGAAAGGGTGGAAAATAATTTTTAAAATTATTTTTGTTCATATTTGTTGAAGAATTCCAACAACATGATTGCATTTCTATTCCTACTCGTGGCTGGGACTCACTGGTACATTGGATGGTCGCACAGGTAGAGGTGGTGAGCTGCACCCTCCATACTGAGCAGGTCACTGCCTGTGGACACGGCAGCACACCTTGGAAAGAACAGGAGTGGGAACACCGTGTGGAAAGGGAAAGGCCAGGAGTAACCACACAGGATTGTCACATTCCTGTTGTTCAGAGCATAACAGAACTCAACCATGTTTTAGCACAACAGAGGAACCCCACATTTCACTGTGGCTGCTTTTTACTTCTTATTTCTGGTCTCTGCCTTTCTAGGAATAAGTTTCTCAGACATCTGATATCATTCTCCTGATCTGCCCTCTCTTATTTCACTGTAGGCAGATTTATATGGCCTAGAGCTATGAGATCATGATTAGAAGTGTCTAAATCCATCTCCTAAACATAAAAACATGTCATACCCCAACTATTACTCATCTGTGAAACACAGGGTTTCTAGAAGCAAGGTATTTGTGGTACACATGAGAACTTAAAAAGAACTGGCCTGGTAGAGCTCATTTAAGAGGAAAGGCCTGGGCTCTTCTTAATCACATATTTTGGCCAAAAGGAAATTTGGTATAGGAAATTTTTGCCAAGAACAAAAATGTAATTCAGGTTCTCTCAATCCAGGAAACAGATTCTCAGATGTTTTAACATTTAAAGGAGAAAAGGAGCAAAAGTCTGCTTTTTAGTATCTATCAGCATTGGCACTGTGGTGTGCTGTGGTCTACATGGGAATGCCACACCACCCAATGTGTGATACCTCACAGCAGGTGTGTCTAATTATTACAAACTCCTCCTAGGACAATACCCTTTGCCTCTGAAATGGAGTTGGCACTTCATTTCTGAGGTACGCATGAGAGAGGAATCATGAGCCAGAAGGGAAGAGAGATGAGAGAACCTAACCTTGGATTGAGTCTCACACACGAGGCAGGACTATAACATTTCTCTGCATGAAGTCTGGATAAAACAGGGCTAGACTTCAACTGCAGCTGTAAAGGACAGAACTGAAGTCCAAAGAACAGTGTAACATTCCTGCATGCAGTCATAGCACCTTAAAGCTCCAGATGTGTAGGCACAGGCACCAATGGCCTTTATCTAAAGAATTTGAAGGAAGCTCTGTCTTCTTGCCATTCACAGGACAAGCAAAACAGCTGGGGACCAGTCTTAAACTTGTCAGTAAACCAAGTTCATCCCCATCCCAGATCCAAGACATCCAGTTCTTTATTTTGCCATATTTGAGGCAAAAGAAGACAGCACTGGCAGGGACAGCTCTTACCCAGCACCCCTGCACAGCTTCCACTCAGCAATGACACCGCTGCAGTGAGTGAGCCCTGAGGACAAAAGGCCAGCCATAGAGGGATGAAAAAGCAGCATGGGGAAGGCAGAGTGAAGGTGTGAGGCTGTCATGCAGCAGGATACATCATTCCCTGCAGGACAGAGCAAGTCAGCCTCCCACTTCATAGAAGCTGATGTCTTCTCAAGCATCATTGTCCTTGTTGGCACCGCAATTTGTAACCTCAACCTCCAGCATAGGCAAGCAAAAAGTTCCTGGAATGAATTAATTTTGGTAACAGTTGTGAAAAGTTCTGGTCAGAGATAGTCTAAGAGTTTCACAGATTATGTAAGATGGAAGTAATATACCCTTGTTAGGCAGCAGCTCTCTAAAAGAAAAGGATTTCTTTTTTTCTTTTTTCTTTTTTTTTTTTTTTTTTTTAAGGATGGCTCATTGTTTCTTGGGCTGCATAGCCCAGGCCTCCTAGAGTGAGTAACTCTGAGGAGCTCTGTTGACATTCAAAAGATTTCCCATGGCATATAGAAAAGAATAAAATAGGATAAGACATGGCTGGAGAATACAAACCTTCAAGCAATTGATGTCTGTGGTTATTTGAAGTGTACTTGGGGCTAGGATGAAGGAGACAGTTCTGCCTGTTGTCAGGAAAGGGAAGGAAGTTTGTGGCCTCCACCTCATGTGTCTTCACACAGAGAACTTGCAGAGGACCAAGTGAAAAGACAGGATACTGTTGGACTGTGCTATCTAAACTGCCTGATTCATGTTTATCACCAACAAAATATGAGAAGTAACTTAGGGTTTTTTTGTAGAATAAACAAGTTCATACATGCTTGAAGAAACTGGGAGCAATAGAGTCAACTATTTCAATAATAACAAAAGCGAATTACGACTGGAAAATCTAGAGAAAAAGGCTTCAATGCCATTTATCATCAACATAGATTAGAAAAAATCCATATCTGATCAGCTTTTGTTTTCAGCATACAACAATGCCTTCTTCCAGAAAGAAGGCAAATAAATAAACTTTTGTTCACCAGAGCTAAAAAAAAAAGAACCTGTTTGTAAGAAATGGGGCCTCATGCAGCACAGTTCAAAGCTGAAAAAGACAAGTGAGAGAGGCAAAAATCTGGTCATACACTTTGCTTCAACAACCAGCTGCAAAATATATAAAAAAGAACCACAAATTACATTTGCTATATGTAGGCAGTTTGCTGCAAAACAACATCTGAATTTCCAAATGGAAGACACTGGTAGAAATGTGCATCTGACATGAGCATTGTTCAGCACAGCTGACAGTAGCTGGGCAAGACACAAACTCACCAATAAATGCCTCTCAGAAGTGTTATTAGAACAGGACTTGCTAGTTTTACTGCACTCAAAAGCTGCCTTTCATTTTTGGGTGTTTAAAAAGCACAAACCTCTAAAAGGCCCAACTTAAAAGTTTTTGCTATATCAATTATTTGTTGCTTTAAAGCAATTTTAAGTAGGAAGGTGTTGATCCTTTGTTCGGTGCCAAAGCTCTTAAGGCTAAGCAAAACAAGTAGCATCTCTGCCTGAAGGCAGGTAAGTCAAGCTTCCCTCTTAAAACACAATGAAGATAACCAAACTCTCTTACCTGTCTTTCTTCCACATAAAATGTTTACAGTTCCTAAAGCATATGGTATTTTTTCCAATAAAAAGTTCAGTTATTTCACATCCAACTCTTTTACTGCTCAAATACTGAATATAGATTCAAAGAAAAAAAAACTAAAAACAAAGGAGAAATCAGACCATGACTCCATGAGTATGTCACATGCTTACGGATAAAGAGGGTGGTATAAAGAGAAGAGCGAGAACCTGCTGTAAACTGAATATCTAACCTATCTTTCACTGAACCAGAGAGAGCCCAGTGGCATCAACTGACATCAAATCAGTTCCATTATCAAAGGTTGGCCACTAGAACATGCAAAGGGTGGTAGCCTCTCACATACTGCTGGTTTTCCACCTATTCCACTCATGGTTTATGGCATACTTCAAAAATAATCCATCTATATTACACTCATGCTCAATCTCAGCTTGCACTTCCAGATTTCTGTCTGCTCAGTAAATCTTCATTTCTACCGCTATGGGCATTAGAATGAAGAAATTATAAATGGAGAAATGCCAGCAATAGGAAGCTTGTTGGAAAGCGGAAGCTCTGTTGCAGCATCCAAAAGCCCTTGGTCAGGAGGCCTAGGCTGTCTAGACACAAAAAATTATGGTGAAGCAACAAAGAGTCTCCTGAGCTGGCTCATGTGCGATGATAGCAAGTCAATCTTCAGCAAACAGGACAAAACTTATTTCACTGGGGTGTGAATTGACCCTGTTAGCATAATTCTCTTTTGAAACTGTGTTCACAGTGCCTGCAGGGCTTCTGCTACCGACTCCATGACTGGTGATGAGGATAAGATGGAAGAGAAGGAGCAGTGACTCCAGGCATTTGCTAAGAGTCACACATGGTGCTGCAGCGCTCTAACATTATAAAATGACTGGATCATGGCTACGGGATGCCACGGTCCTGTTACTGCACGTCTATTCTCTGTAACACCCTTCCCACACAGCCAACACACTCAAAGATGTTTTGAAAACATAAGAGTTGTTTATAGTTTGAGAACTTACAGTCCTGGGCTACAAGCTCAGGATATAAATTTGGTGTTAGAAGAGATACACAGGAAATGGTGGGGGCAAGAAAGAGGGAAGCAACTGTCCACTACATATATCCTCTGGACCACCTTATTATAATGGTCATATGTATGAAAATGGGACTGAAACAGTGAGAGGCCCGGACCAGCAAATCAGTATCCTCAGTATTCATTCTTGGTTTGCTTTCTACCGCGTCCTCCAAAGAACATGAGGTCAGAGAGATCACATTTCCATGCTTAAGCAAGCCCAGGTAGATCACTACAGATTTCAACATCAGTTAACAGGGAAGATGAGCTGTGGCTGGAAACATGAAACTTTTGGACCAAGTGTATCAGCCAGACCATCATCTGGCCAAAACACTCGCACTGAAAGCGCTGCGGCATCCACAGGTGATTCTGAGGCATGCGGGGTACTCTCTGTTTCCTTGCCTTAGAGCAGGCAGGACCAATGCAATGGTCCTGAGCGAGGCCTGTGTGCCCACAGTGCGTGCAGCAGCTGAGGCTCACACGGGCAGCAGGGCACAGCTCCCTGAGCAGGACACAGAGGTGACAGAGCTCTGCAGGCCAAGCCTTCGCGAGCCCGGGAAGCTGGACCCAGCTGGCGAGGGACTGGTGCGGCGGCGGCTCTGCTGCAGCGAGACAAGGAGGAACAATTTGTCAGCCAGGGCAAATGTCCAACAATCAGGTCAAATGCCAGCAAGGGAGCCAGGGGAGAGGAAGCTATCAGATGGAGAGCCAGGAAAGGCTCCAAGGCTCAGTAGTACAGTTGGAAGAACTAAAATGGAAATGGCGAATGCCAAAATGAGTGGAATCTCTTTTCTTCAGAGAAACAATTTATATTAACTTGTGCTTAGAAGTCATAGAGGAAGTCAGTCGAGGCAGATAATTCCAAAATTAAACACTTTGTATCAAGTATTTGGACAAACCATGCCTTCTGTGGTTAATAGCTACAGAAACATTAACATTATGCATATTGCAACTGTATTTGGGGAGAGAGGGGAAAGAAAACTATTTGCCCAGTTTCAGATGGACTCTCTAGATGTTTAGGAAATTATTATGTCTATACAGTGCAGTACAACAGCCTATGAATATGCTTGCTTTCCTTCCAGATCCACATAATTCAAAGCAGACAGCACAGCAGAGCTCTCCAAGGCTGGGAAAACTGAACATACTTATTTTCCACACTCTTTAAATTATTTCACAACTAACTTCAGATTTAAGCTTCTTTGTAAAGGTTGTTTGCATAACCAGATTTGTTGTCTTGTGTCCTTCTACACGTCTTTTTGGCCATTCCTGTCAAATATTTATCTGGAATTTTGGGTGTCATGAACTAGACAAACCTGAGCTACATCCTATGCTTTCTAGCTTTAGATATGATGTGTGTGCAGCACACCTTCCTGACAGGGGAAACACAGGCAGCAGTCTCCTGGCACAAAGCGGGTTGGGAACCATGATGCCCAGTAACTTTGTGCCCAACAGTCTTCTTAGAAATCCCATTGCAAGGGATATTGGAGAGGAGACTAAAAGTAGCACTACTCTCCTTAAATTGGATTGATGATTACAAATGGAGAAGCAGATTTATTTTTTTTTCTGGTAGAAGATACATAAGTGAATTATGTTAATTAATAGGTCACTTAAAGTTATTATATGGACATAGTGAAAGAAACCGACTCTGTAATCATATGAGAATAAAAAAATACAATAGAAATGTAAAAGAATAGAAAACAAAGGAATCAATACACTGAATAAGAGACACAGTATCTGAAGAGTACTGTCAGATCTCTTCAAGTATTGTTAGACCTTCCTCTTCAAGGGCTCACACTCGGTAACACGACCCACTGCTCCAGACCGGTTACTCTTTTACTGTGGATTTCCAGAAGGGCTGCCACGCTTCACCATTGGATAGATGGCCCTCAGAAGGTTCAAAATCTATACTTTTTGCCATCTATCTTTCCACACCCTTGTTTTTCCTGGCATGTGACATGGAACAGGCTTCATTTTTTTAAGGTGTCAAACATGCCAAGAGCTGGAATGTTTTCAGTGTTGTATTTTTAACCGTGTCTAAAACTAGAAACGAAAAGGAAGAGATTTAATTCTGTGTAAACATTCCTACAGCCCATTTTCAGCAAGAGACTATGTCCAGCGCCATGCCCCACCGTCGGGGGAACTGAGACCGTCCTCTCTCCAAGTCTGCTTTCTGCAAAATCCACTTCAGCGCTGTCGCTGCCGGCGCCTTCCTTGCCTTTACAGTGTGACCCGGCGCCCCTCTCGCGGTGAACATCCCGCCCTACCGCACAGCCAGGCAGCGGGGAAGGGATCAAGCTCATCACCGGGGCAACTCCTGCCGCTGCCGACGGAGCGCCCGCCGCCCTGGCAGCCCAGCGCCGGCGGCGCCGCAGCCCGGGGAGGTCGCGGCCGCCGCGCCCCGCCCGTGCGGGGGTGCCGGGGGCGGGCAGCGCCGCTCCCGCCCGGGCCCCGCCGGCGCCCCTTCCCCTTCCCCCAGCCCGGTACCTCGTCTCCGAAGCGCACCACCTTCTGCCCGGTGTTGAGGCGCAGGCTGGGGTAGGAGGAGGGCGGCGCGGGCGGGCGGGTGGTGCCGCGGTGCGCGGCGTAGCGGGCCTGGACGTGCGGCTCCACCAGGCACTTGTCGATGATCTCGTCCTGCTGGCGGGGCGGCAGCCGCTCCCACTCGGGCCCGTAGCGCTCGCGGATCCGCTCCTTCTCCGCCATGATCTTGCGCGCCATGGGGCTCAGCGAGGAGAAGTAGCTGAACCGCTTGCGCTCCCGCTCGTCCAGCGGCCGGTTCCCGTTCATCACCGCCGTGCGGGAAGCGGCGATCGCCGCCGCCATGGAGGCCATGGCCACCCCGCCGCCGCCGGCCCCGCACTCGCACGGCGGGATTGGGGATGGGACCGGGAAGAGAACCGCCTCCTCCGCTCCCCTCCAGCAGACACCGCCTCCCTCGCTCGCTATAAAGCCGGGCGGCCGCCGCCCCGCGCTGCCCGCCCCCCGCACGCCCAGCCCGGCGGCCCCTGCCCGCCTCCCCCACGGCGCCGCTGCCTGGGGCCGGCGACAGAGAGGGAAGCGGGGACACCGCCTCCCGGGCTTGCTCCGCTCTCGGTACCGTCCATAGCGTGGGGCTGAGCGGGCCCCGCGGCCCTCGAGTGCTCCTGCCCGCAGCGCTGGTCTCCTACAGCCCTTCCCCTGCTTTGCCGAGGAGGTAAGCTGTAGTATTCCCACGCTGCCGGGCCAAGAGCACCACGAAAGGACTTGCCTCAGCTGGCAGAGGAGCACCGTGCGCAAGAACCTGCCTTTCCTCACTACCTAAGTAAGTCGTACGTGTTTCTTAACACGATAGAAGACACCAGCTGCTGTCAGAAGAGAGAGGATGCCTGGCACAGGCACTTTTGTCCAACTGCACCAGTTAGGGTGCAAGGTGGTCCGAAGCCTCTGTATTAATTTGATAGTAAAGCTGCAGCCTAAGTGTAACAAATCAATGCAGTAGGCATTACATTGGTAAAATAGATGCCTAAAGGCTGAAATAATTAGGTTGTCTGGTCTCTTCCTTTGTTGTACAAATGCTTGGTTCTGGTAACAAGTCCTTATTTTGGCAAAAGATTCACCAAGGACCCACACACAAATTCCCAAAAGATGACCAGTCTCCTGGGGTGGGGTGGTGGAAGCATACTTCCTTTCCACAAAAAAAACCCTCAAAAAACAAACAACAAGAAAAAAAATCAAGCTTACCTAAGAGAGGCAAATATGTCAGAAGATTTATGCAAGACTAAATCTATTTTGACTTTTGGCCTAGGTAGTTGCAGGGGAAATGTTTATCATCTTCAAAATATATTACAAAGTAGCGCAAATATTGAGGTTCAGATTAATGGTTTTTCATTGCTTAGCCTATTTTTTTTCCCTCAGTCTGCTTTCTTTAGTATCATTCTTAGTAGAAAAATGACTGGGGCTGCAATACATTAATGTTCCCATTTAAGAGTTCAAATAGTATCACCAGACCAGCTAAGATAGCACAGAAGAGGATGGAAAATGGTAATTAGATTTCTTCATGTACTTGGTCCTTAGGAGGTAATTACAGTTCCCCAAGTCATCACATACCAGCCCAGTTATATAATCTTGTTTTGTTTGTTAAACTTGTTTGAGAGCACTTGACTTGAGCTCGCTCTCTTTCTTAGTCATCTGCATCACGCCCAGAGAAAGAAGCTTTTGAAACACATTTGCAGCCACACACACTCGTAAGAGGTGTAACACACATTACCCCAAACCCTCCCATGATCTCCCATGAATCTCTTTTGTTGGCACCAGGAGATGAGGATGAAGTCAGTCACCGGAGTAAAAAATGAGGACAAGGAAACCCAGACAACTGCACATGGTTTGTTTGTCCAGGCAGTTTTTTTCTTCCCCATCACCCCTTCTCCACTACCTCTGGTCTAAACCTCAAAACAGAACCCCTCCTTTTTATAGTTCCCAAGACTGTCTGATCAAATGCTAATATGATTCCCCTTTCTCAATGAATAACAAAACTTAGAGGAGGCTTAGAAGATCACATTAGAACACAAACAAGGTATAAAGTTAGGCATAGTTTTCAGGTTGCTGTTTTTCCAGGAAAATAACAATTCCGTTCCTCCTTAATGAAACTTAAACTTCTAGTCTTTTAAACAGAAGCAGCAAACTGTGCTTATTTCTAGTGGGATAGAAGAATGTACTCAAGAACAGAATGTTGAAAATACCTGTGTCACAAATGGACAGCATCCCAATTCTTTTAATGAAAACGTACAAGCCTCCTTTATCCTTACTTGCAAAAAAAAAAAAAAAAAACCAAAAAAACCAAAAAAGCCAAAAAAAAAAACCACCCCAAAAAACCAAACCAAACCAAAACTACTTTCGCCCTTTACAGAAATTCTGATCAAAAAAGTTTAGAATTCCCATTCATTAGTACTAAACACACAGGTGGTCAAATTATGGTTTGGTTAGGGAAACCTGCTTTTCCTGAATGCTGCCAAGTCTGTCCAACAAAAAACAACTCAAGGAACACTGGCTAGTGCTCCCAATATATTTCAATCCTGTCACTCTTTTATTAATTTTTGCCAACCACCACCACCAATGGGTACTTGGAAAGGGAGATTGTTGTGTTTCTGACATTTACTCATCACCAAGGGCCTAACTCCAAATAAGTAATTGGTTTGGTTTTGTTTCCTAATGATGTTTCCCTGAGCCCCATTCTTTTAAGCTGACATCTGTTCTTTCACTGGACTGCACTACATGAAATGCCTGTGTATTCTCCAGTTACTCACACATGGTAGAGTTTTAAGTATTCTGTGCAGAGGCTTTAAAAAAACCAGTGAGAAGTAGGATAGTATTATTTCCAAAGAAAATTACTTTTCTGTTTTCTTATTAAATAAATTTTCACCTGTAGTATGTTCAGTTCATAAAGGATCAAGTTTCTTTCTGCTCTTCAGCTGGGCCCCTGAATAACTATTTCTGTTAGAGTGTGTCTTAATACAAAAAAGCAGTTGTTCTACTTCTTTTTTCCTCTTTAATATTATTGGGCACAGAAAGATTTCTTTTACTGGTGATAAATAGTCAAGTAAGTTTGTTCTGTTAAGAAAACCAAAATAAAATCAAACCATTTTGTCCATAATTTGCTATTCAAAATAATTTACAAAGCAGTACCTCTTGGCCTTTTATTTGTATAAATTATACAACAACTATAGTTTTTTTTAGACAATGAGAGGAGTCTGTGTTTAGTACTTCAATCATCGTTCTCAGGGTTGGAAAAGTCTCTGATACTAACGGTAGGCTCTTGTAAGAAGGTGAAATACTGAAAGAAAAAAAAAAAGTTATTTTTAATGAGTTTTATAATTTCCCTGCAAGTTAACACATTAACTTACTTAACTCAGACTTCTCCCCATCACTTTCTCCAACAAATTTGGGACCTGTGTCAAGAATCAACTTGATGCAACAGGCTTAGGGCAGAGTGGCTGAAAGCTGCTGGGCAGAGAAGGATGTGTGGGTGCTGGTTGACAGCAACTGAATATGAGCCAGCAGTGAAGCCAAGAAGGCCAGTGGCATCCTGGCCTCTGTCAGCAATAGTGGGGCCAGCAGGACCAGGGCAGTGGTTATCCCCCAGTACTTGGCAGTAGTGAGGCCACATCTCAAGTCCTGTGCCCAGTTTTAGACACTTCACTGCAAAAAGGACAATGAGGTGCTAGAATGAGTTCAGAGAAAAGCAACGTTGCTTGTGAAGGGTCTGGAGCACAAGTCTTAGCAGAAGCAGCTGTGGGAGATAGGGTTTAGCCTGGAGAAAAGGAGGCTCAGGGGTGACCTTACTGCCCTCTACAACCACCTGAAAGGAGGGTGTAGCCACACGGGGGCTGGTCTCTTCTCTCAGGTTAACAAGGGACAAGACCAGAGGAAATTGGCTCAAGTTGTGCCAGAGAAGGTTTAGATGGCATATTAGGAAACATTTCTTCATGGAAAGGGTGAAGACATTGGAATAAGCTGCCCAGGGAAATGGTACAACGAGCATCCCTGAAGTCATCAAAAGCATGTGAATGTAGCACTTGTGGACATGGTTTAGTGGTGAACACAGTGGTGCTGGATTAGCAGCTGGACTCAATGATGTTGAAGTTTTTTCCCAGCCTTAATGATTCAATGATTCTCAGAATCTGTTGTTCACAAACAGCTCTTGCTTTTTATGACTACTCCATCATCATACAGAATGAAAACCATGTCTACAAAGAAGAGCTTTCAAAAGCAGCAGAAGTTTAAGAAAAAATGTATTGCTTTAAGTCTTCCAGCCTTATTTACCATATCCACTATTACTTATCTACCACAGACAAATTAGCCACTCAGGCTAATTAGATTCATGCTATTATATAAGGTCCTTTGGGCTGTAGTTCTTCAGATTTATTTTTTTTTCCCCTGAGCAAAGTCAACTTTAGCATTTTCTCCACTCTGGCTCATTTCCTCACCTATTACACATCTCTACTTTGACCCAGCGATTCCCTAGATTCTACTGTACTACAAAATGGTATTGATTGAAAATAAATTGTTTTGGCAAGGTTATTTTTAACATGAATTACTTCCCTGATCTGGTTTGACATGGATTCCCGTAAGTTTCAACAGTTCAGCTGAGGGCAGCAGAAACACATGAAATATCTTAAGCTGACTTTACTCCCAAGAAGGAAGTTTCTCTTTGGTAAAGCTACGTCTTTAAAAAAAACAATCCAAACCCACAAAAACAAAACCAGCATGAACAGAGGATTAATAAAGAAGAGTATATAATTGAGAGAATTACAGAAAAAGTTGTGGGAACCATAAATATTTTATATTTCCAAGACAAGCATGTCAAAATATTTGTAGAGACTACTTTTAATAAAATTCACAACTTGCTACACCTGTAGTTTAAAAATGTCACTCCTTAATGAATACTGAATTTTACTCATTTACAAGTAGATTTTTAGTCTAAGTTTGACAAAGATGTCCTTGAATCTTATTAGCCTTCTTCATTTAGGAAGGATTTTATAGTCTAGTGAAATTCACCAGGCTCAGAAGCCCTGATAATAAAGTTAAATAACACTAATCAGTGTGAGATCAGAGTTTGGCACTAAGAGCAGCTGCAGAGTTCCATAGTCTCTAGGAAGCTGGACCAGACCTCAGGAATGATGAGATCTAAGATCCTGTTCAAAGCAAGGCAAACCGAGAAGTCAAATCAGGGTGTCAGGGCTTTACCCTGCTAAGTCTTGAAAATCTCCAGGGGTGGAGACTGCACATCCTCTTTGGGCAGTCTGCTGGTGAAAAGATTAGGCCAAGTCTAAACGTTGTTTCAACTCATGCACATTGCTTTTTGTCTTCCCACCAAACACCCACAGGTCCTGCAGAGATGCTCTTCAATCAAAGCCTTATCTTCTCCAGGCTGAACATGCCCAAGGCATGTGCT